GAGTACAATTATTATCACGGCCAGTATCACCGAAAAATTTTTTGGAGCTGGACTATTATAACCTGGTTTCGGACGCAATAGAGGGCACTTTCACCCAGGGTTCGATTTCATGTGTTCTGTGCTCGTTGCTGCAGAAATGCGTTATTTCCGCTGTTTCAACAGTTCGTTGCCACGGTTATTCCTAGGCAATGATCTGTTGGAACAGCAGAAATGCATTATTTCCGCTGTTTCAACAGTTCGTTACCATGGTTATTCCTAGGCAACGATCTGCTGGTATTCGATGGATGACGTATAACACGTTACAGTATATTAATATTGAATACAATTAATATTTTAACAACCAACCAACCTGTCACAGGTGTGACATCTATATAATAGGTATGTAAAAACGTGCGTATTCAAATGCAACGTTGTATCAAAATTTCGAAGCAGTCGGTGAAGAACTTTCAGAGATTTAAGATGGTAACAAACGAACAGTTACATTTTTATTTATATAGATTTCGGGAACTTTTGGATTGCACCACATAGAATACAATTTCTGTACCATTTTCTTGTAATTTGCCACCCTCTGAAGCTCAATTTATTTCTTTCACACCCTTCCTCCCATATATTTTTCACAATATAAGTTCCAGGATATCAATATATGAAAAACAAATCAATTTTTGTGAGAGTTGAGGTTCTCGTGGCAGCACAGTGAAGGGCACTGTCTTCTGGGATGTGATGGTGTGCAGTTTGGTAAGAGTTTTAATTTTTTCTTAAATATTAAACAAATTATATCAAACTACACAGTCTGACAACCCAGAAGATAGTACTCCTTAAACAAATTCTTCATGAATTCACTTGAGGATAATATTGATGTAAGTAATTAACATTCTAACTATTATTTTGGTGTGCATGGCTATGGGTCTGTGAGTAATGATCACCATTAAAAGAAGTACATTTGTTAGATCAAATAGAATAAATTAAAATAAGCATAAAGTACATGCCTCTGAATCAGGATTTCGACCCAATAGGTCAACAATAGACAATTTATTCACCCTGAGACAAATAACGGAGAAATGCTTGGAATTTAATACAGAAATTTATCTATGCTTCATAGATTTTAAACAAGCATATGATACAATAATAGGGAAGAAATTAAGGATGATTATGTCCACTTTTGGTATTCCAACAAAATTAAATAGAATGATTAACTTAACCATTACAGAAACAATCGATCAAATTAAAGTCCAGAACCAGTTAACAGAAAGCTTTAAGACAAATCAAGGATTAAAACAGGGAGATAGTTTGGC